CGGATCATAACAAAATCGTATGACTGAGCAATTATATAATATGTATGTAGATGATTACCGGTAAGTACAGTTTCGCTCATTGTGAAGCGTAGCCAAGTTTTTACCCTTCTTAGAGCCATTTATATTTAAAGGTTGGATTGAAAATAAAGCTATGTATGTCTAAAGTTAGTCGTTTCTATTATCGGTTTTTGACGTATGTACTATGTTTCTTGGTTGTAAACCAATTTAAAACCGATAATAAAATGCTATACTTTAGACACAATCACAAATTTTAATGCAACATTTAAATATAAAGTGAGCTATAAACTGAGAAAACTGCCCTAAGGGCCGTTTTGTAATGTAAGCAGTAAAGTTGCCTTTACTAACAGGGCAGATAAATTGTTCCTCACTTTAAAGTGTTTTCGTTTTCTTATCTTACCGGTAAAAACAAGTTTGTTATTCCGTAGAGTGAAACTTTACTACATTTCCGACAGTGAAACTTCACTACATTCGTCATAAAATTTCAAAGGTTGGGAATGCAACATAAGCAAATATAGAGCAAGAATAACTGTTTGCAAAAACCAAAACCTTGGTTGAAATATCTAATATATCTGACTCATGAACCAAAACCGAACCAAAATTTAAAGTTGGGTACAAATTTTTAGAGGTTGCATCGGGTGAGCAACAACTTATCGATTCGAGAAATTAATGCGCTGATGAGAAAACGAAAACTCGTATATCGAGACGATAAAGTGGCCGGTAAACTAAAGGTTAGATGAGAAAAAGACCCTAAGGGCCGTTTTCTAATGTAAGCAGTAAAGGTGCCTTTACTAACAGGGAAGATAAATTGTTCCTCACTTTAAAGTGTTTTCGTTTTCTTATCTTACCGCTAAAAATAAATTTGTCCTTCCGTAGAGTAAAACTTCACTACATTTCCGAGAATGAAACTTCACTACATTCATCATAAAATTTCAAAGGTTGGCAATGCAACATAAGCAAACATAGAGCAAGAGCAACTGTTAGCAAAAACCAAAACCTTGGTGGAAATATCTAATATATCTGACTCATGAACCAAAACCAAACCAAACTTTAAAGTTGGGTACACATTTTTAAAGGTTGCATCGGGTGAGCAACAATTTATCGATTCGAGAATTTAATGCGCTGATGAGAAAACGAAAACTCGTATATCGAGACGACAAAGTGGTCGGTAAAATAAAGGTTAGATGAGAAAACGGCCTTAAGTGTGCTAAATGACTTTTCAATTGTGCAAGTTGTGCACGGCTGAGCTAAGTGCAATTGTAAGGCACATTTTACTCCCGGGTAAAGAATTTTGCTGTCAGGTACACTTCAAAGGTACAGCTTTTTAATTATTTGAGCATCGGTTCTCTGTATAGCTAGACGTTGAAAATTTCTATTGGAGGAGCTTACTCATTGACTTTAAACAGCAAAAAAAGGGGAACTAGGGGGCAGTTTCAGCACAGAAGTTTTTAGCCAAGTATCCAATGTATATCCCTATGTAACAAATATTGCCCGACTAGTAAATAAAATTACTGTTTTTTGAAATCTTTGCTAAAAATAAATTTCCCAAAGAGCTTCAATTTGAATGATCAAAAGCAAATCACGAAAAAATGGTTTAAACTGTGCACACTTTTTCTTTCATGTCTAGTAGTTTTTTTTTTTTTAAGATTGGTTCACAAAATCATAATACAGAAAGAAACAAATGATCAAGTAGAGGTGGGAGTTCCCATAACTGATCATTGATAGCTGGTTATATAACTTGAGAACTAATATATTTAAATAGACTTTTATCAAAGCTTTTGACCATATACATTTGCATTCGTAAAAGCTCCGCATTGATTATTGCGAATGCGAAAGCCAATGCAAATACTAAAATTAATGCGGAAGCTCCGCGGTTGCGAACGCGAATGCGAATATTCGCAAAAACCCTGGTATGTATGTACATATGTATGTGAGTTCATTTCATGTAAAATCTGTTACAGTCATGAATTCGCAGAATTTCTGCCAAGTCATGAGTGTAAAATTTAGCGCATTCAAATAAAACCAAGTGGAAAGTATAATAAAACCCCGGTAGTCAATGCCCATAATGACATATTCGGCTGCCTTTTCTTTATACAATGCATAATAATCAATGGTGTTGTTTTTCTCTTAAAAGTGGCTAATAATTATACATACATACAACTGGAGGTAGATGGGAAAGCAAAACACATCTGGTGTATGTTAGGAACTAGGTATGAATCATATTTCATAGGCATTGTGTAATTGAACCCCTACCGATCGTCGCACATTTCTAATTGGCATAATTATGTTCAAACAAACGCCCCAAAAACGCACCGTCTTTATTTACATTAGTATTTATGTAAGGATACATATATGCATATGTAAGGACATACATATGTAAACACGATCGTAAGTATGCACATCCATTCCCATCCCCATGTCTCGAGTTTTTGCCGTTAAGAACTACTTAAATGTACATGTATAAATTTGTATTTGTAACAACTGCGTTGGAATGCACATGCTTATATACATATGTACGTACATAGTAGGGGTATTCAGGCGTTAATGCGAAATGCATTGCGCCCGTGCTAAATGCGAAATTTTTATCAACAACAACACAGCCTTTTTTTCATTTTTTGACTATATATATTATATGTTTTGCCTTTTTAATATTTATCTCTTCATTTTCATACTTTTATGTTTTACAACACTGCAATTCGTTCCTTCAGCTGATTGCTTTTTTTTCTTCAACTTACGTAGCGAGGACATGGTGAATTCATATAAGGTGGTGTTACAGGCGAAATTAGATTTACGTACTGATGTCATGGTGTGTTTATGTACTTTTGGTTTGTTCTTATTGCCATTGTGGGTATAATTTTTTAGTGTACTCTTTGCTTTTGTGCTGCTACTACCACCTTATGCTTGAAACTAGAGCTCTAGATACCCGGGTATCGAGCAATGCGAGTAGCTCGATCTCAGTATATCCAGTAAACAAACTTAGCAACTTTTTTCCACCAAATTTGGTCCCCATAAAGGACTAGTGTTGCAAGCAACGCTTTTTCGTCAAAAAGGGTGTCGTGCAGCAATTTTATGTGGTCAAAATTATTTTTTTGCACTGGAAAAATGGATAGAAAAATATTGCAGTGCGATTGAACATCTCAGGTTTAGCTGAAATATAAATGTATTAAGAATAATTATTTTTCCAATAAATACTTTTTTTTTATTTTACTGTGTCGAGGTCGTTGAACAAATATTTGTTATTTAGTATTTAAGTTAATTGTGAAATATATTGAATGCACAAATTAAGTTATGGGAGCGATTTATTCATAGAATTGGAAATAAGGTTGATGATATACTTTAAATAAATTGTGAGTCTGCGAAAATATCTTTTCAGCATATGAATATACTTCTTAACATTTTCCCCGAAATTTTACATACAGGCTCGAAATTATGCCAGTAACATTCAAATATCGTCGCTTGGATGGAAAATTTCCGTAAGCGTTATTTTGACAGTTTTTAGTTAAAGATGCAGTTATATATTTTAAAATCAGATATTTCGCTTTTTTTTAAACAGTTTTTTGGATATCTTCTTTAGTTTCCGAGTAATTGACTAAAATCGTTTGGTACACATTACGTTAGTAATACTGTCGTACTAAACTAATCAACATCTTTCAAATAGCGTCATCTGTTTTTAAATATCTGCTTTAGTTTCCGACATATTCAGCCTTATCATGAGTTTCATTTTCTCGAACCGGGCCACCTTCTCATTTTTCGTTTCCGTGTATTCACTACGGGTGGGTGTAAACATTTCTGGCGAATTTTTTTTTTTTTTTGGCGAGACTCACGATCAGGCTGATTAGTGTAAAGTATCGTTAATTTATAAAAAATGTTATCACATTTGGCGTATACGACAAAATTTTATTAAACTCATAAATGGTTGACAGTAAACTAAAAAATAAGATAATTTAAGAATTTCGTGAACTTATACATAGCATTCTCCGACACTTTGGAGAAAATATGTATTCGAGTTTCTGAGAAATTGCATTCCAAACTTCAATTGTGATTTCCCGAAACCTGCCGAAAGTAACATGCAACGATCTTTTATATAGGCGACGATATAACATTTAGCTAAAATATGCATCTAAATAAATTATAAATGTGATTATTTTCGCAGTTGAAGTATATGCCAGGCGAGTAACAGGTAAATACATACATACCTATGTAAGTATACCTAAATTACCACGTTGAGCTTGTATAATAATCTCTCTCTAATGTATTAATTATATACACGTCAGGACCAATGCCCGACGCAGTTATGTCTTTATTTAATAACGGCTCTATGACAAAATATTCAAGAAATATATTCTTAGATTTTAATTTACTTCATTTCATACATTAATATTGACCTGATTTTTTTTAATATACCAGGAATAAATATTTAATAAAAAACTATTTCACTTAAGCTTAACCAACTTTTAGTTGCTCGGAGCTAATTTTGGAACGCTTCATGAAATATTTTTATAGACGGTAAAAGCAATCCTGGGTGCATCGTTAATTAGCTGAAAAACCAAAACAAATTAAATTTGTGGAATGGAGCCTTTTGAAAAAGCCTTTACAAACGGCAATGGAATTCCGACATTATTCAAGGAACCGTGAATATAAGCTGCCTTCCATTTGGCATATTTGCGGGTTAAACCTTCAGAAAGTTACAAAAAAAAACCATTTTCTTTTTTTATATATTATATATTTTTAAAATAAAAATACTTCACCTTGTACACAAAAATTTCTTTAAACCATCTTGCGCATGCAGTTTGTTGATCTTGTCTTCGCGGTTACCGAAATCACCAACCTCAATGTAGTAATTAGCCCTCTTGCGCCAGCCACCGGTTGGTGTTGAGCTTGAATGGCCACAGGTAGTTGGATGCTTTCTTGTGCGTTCGATCACAAAGTTGTCAGAGATTGGGCCACTTTGATGGTTGTGCTTGACAATCCACGTTTGTATATCAATTCACGAACTGATTTAAGATTTGGATAACCTCATGTGATATAGGATTCTGCAATGCGTAGCATAGTAACGGTTAAATTTGATGAACAAACCGTGGTTAATGTGGCGAAAACGGAACAAACTGTCGCACTTTTGGTGCAACTTTGTTGATACCGCGGATACAGATCACAAAAGCCAATATGTCTTCCGCAGGCACGTAGAATGAGCCGCGTTTCTTTGCCAGGCGGCGCAACTTATTCTCACGGCGTCCATCACGGAGATATTTTGCTTGATATTTCTCAGATGCAATAAGTTTTGACGTTTGCGGAGTGCAATCACAGCAGAGCGCTTTAGTTTACGCTTGATCAGGGTAGCACGTTTGCTGACCTGCTTCTTGCTGAACTTCAGGTACGACTCGGGGACAGCTGGCAGCTTCCTGGAAGGTTGTTTGCCCTTTGCTTCGGGCTTCCTACCGGTCGTGGTGGCAGTCATCTTAACTTGTAACTTAGCACGTTGAGAAGGCGAAAAAAAGTTCGCCAAATGTTTGGAGCACATTTTAACTAACGCCACTCGATTAACCACATTTCTATTAAACACAATTTCATTTAATTAAATACTTTTTTAATACATAGATATGCTGCAACCAGGCACTTACTTTCCTAAATTCTATCTTGCTTATCGGCATAATTTTCCAAATGTGCCTGCGCTGCTACTTCGTACTAATCACTTCATTTTCCAACTGCGCCTTCTTTTTTGCCTCTACATATCCTAAAAATACATAAAATTCACATTAAACAATAGAAATTGGAAAAATTAGCAAATAAATACTCACTTCGTTCTGTTTTGTTGTCAATTTCTGAGAAATGTGAATTTACCACGATGCAATACAGAAAGAAGAAGGACCAGGGATGTAATTTTAAGTAAACCTATTATTCAGTGGCAATGTGCAGAGCGTCCCGAGTGGCAAAATTAATTTGCATCAAATATAACATTAAACGGTGGTTCTAATCCATTTTTCATATTGTTAATCAAAGTATATACATTATATGGTATTTCTTTCATAAATTAATGCCCTATACGCATATTTTTTTTTTAATATTTCTTAAGTTTCTTGCGTTGGTGCTGAAAAGCAACCATGCGTGTAAGAAATTGTATGCTACCTAAAATTTCACCTCTGGAAACTTTATCCCCATAAAGGACTTCGCCACAGTTTTTTTACTGGATATACTGAGAGCTCGATACTCACTCGAAACTCGTTCATAGCTCAACTGCTCAAATGTTTGTTCAAAATTTTCGAGTTTTTGAACAATTTCATAAACAAAAGAAAATTTGTAAATTGTATTTGTCAGCAGCTGCTTTCTAATTCATGTTAAATAAATTATATTATTAAATACCAATGTAACAATCTTTGCATTATATATCAATAATTTGAAAAATTTAAAAAGTTGCTATCAAAAATGTCAATATAATAAAAAAAACATTGCTCAAATTACTCGAAAAATCTCGAATTGCTCGAGCTCATGCTCGAAAATTTTCGAGTAATGAGCATTGAACAAGTGTGCGAGTACTCGCTGCTCATATACCCGGGCTGTTTTGAAAATGTGCGAACAAAATCGAGAGCTCTACTACACAATAACCGGCGAACGGCGAAGTTCGCCGAATTGGGCGATGCCGTCGCTCACCGTTGGCCCTGCTATTTCGCCTACTTTAACAGAATTAGAGCGGTAGCGAAAACAGCTGATACCAATTCGTAGCACTTATTTAGGTGACCATATTTTGCAAAACGAAACCATATTTAGAAATGATGAAATGATAACAAATACATATAAATATATAGCGAGAGGGAATTATTATAAATTATTTTATTTTAAGCCAGATTAACGAATCGATCACAGCATTTTTCAACCAACAAAAAAAAAAAAAAAAAAAAAAAAAAAANAAAAAAAAAAAAAAAAAAAAAAAATATAATTCGTGTTATATGTTGTTTCCTTTTAAATCTTTGAAAGCAAAACAAAACATACGGCCACCTTTGGCATGTACTGCCGCCAAGAAAACTTCGGATTTCGCTTTGGCTGTGTTCAATTTCATATACCGGCGGGTGTTCTTATTTTGACAGCGGGAACTTCGCTGTGGTGAGTTCGCCGACCGCCGGCATTGTGTTTTCGCGGTTATATGAATTCGCTTTTGGTTGTGAGTTTCATATAAATTAGGTTTGAAATTGTGAAATTTGTGCCCTAAGTCAAGTATTTGCGAATGCTTAAAATGCTATATAGAAGAATTGGGGGAAAACATATTTTTGACTGTTGTGGAATAAAAGTAAATCACGACAAAAAACACCACAAACTATTACTTATCTAATTGTTATATAACGAGACCTTAAAACTTTGTGCAGTATTTAAAAAAAAAATCAAAAAAATTTCGGGCTTTTTTAATCAGATTTCTTAGAAGGATTCTAAGACACAAGAACACTAGGTGGCTAACATTAGTGCGGGTCAGTTTTTTTTTTCGACATCGTTCCTAGCAGATGCGGATTCTACATAAAATTCTAAGAAAAAAAATCCTCTAGACTAGGGTTGGGCGGTAGCGCGGGCAAGCAGGAGCTAGATCCCGGGTAAAACTTAGTATCCAGCTCTCAAGAAAAGCAAAAACTCCATATAAAATGACGCATAAAAAATGGTTAAGAAATTTTCTTGTGTCAAATTTCCTTATGGCAGTACGCTGTTCATAAGAAATTCGCTACACTTTCTACTACGGTTTTCTAAAGTTTTTTTGCGAAAAAAGAGCGCAAGGCAACCCATGTTTGCTACAGAAATATATGCCCGTTCCATTATTTCTTGGGGAAAGAGTGAGGCAACAGGCTGTGAAATACCAGATGTAAAATTCCTTGGAAACACACACGAAATAGTGGCAATTTTTTGCTTTAGCCCTGTATGCAGCTCTTAAGAAAACGGTCAAGAAAAAATTGCGTATGTGTCCAAGGAATTTTGATATTTTTGATACCTCACAGCCTGTTGCCTCACTCTTTCCTCAAGAAATAATGGAACGGGCATATATTTCTGTTGCAAACCTGGGTTGCCTGTGCTCTTTTTTCACAAAAAACTTTAGAAAACCGTAGTAGAAAGCGTAGTAAATTTCTTAAGAACTGCGTACTGCCTTAAGAAAATTTGACTCAAGAAAATTTCGTAGCCATTTCTTGTACGTCATTTTATATGGAGTTTTTGCTTTTCTTGAGAGCTGCATACAGGCCTTTTACCGTTTCCTTGAGAGCTGGAGGCTTAAAAACTCATTTTATGCAATGTATGTATATTGCCAAAGGCTATAGTACAACGGTGGGCAATCGCGGCTCTTTGAGCCAAATTCGGTTCTTTGCTTAGCAAAGTGCGGCTCTTTTCACTTTCTCTAAGCTTAGAACATTTTGGCTCCTTTTAATATTTAAAATACACATTTCTTTGCTGGACATTCTTTTCCATTGTGTTGTTTTTTTATTTTATTCTTTTTATATACACATACGCAAATTGAGATCGGAACATTACCCGCAATTGGAGAATGAAAATTGGCTTTCTGACTTAATGTTCTTTACCGATATGATGAAACATTTTCAAAACTTGAATTTGTCTCTACAAGGAAAGAATAAAAATAAACTACGTCTTTTTATTCATGATCTCAAAAAAATAATATTTCATCATTTTCCATGGCTAGAAAAAATATTGCGCATGATTTAAAATCAGATTTTGAAAAAATATTTGCTGATTTGAAATTGTTTAAATGTACGTTTGCATACTTCATAAACCCTTTTTATGTAATATTGGGCTTGTTCGAGGCACGTAATAAAAGCGGCAATACTGCAGCAGTGATGAAAATTTATATCACTGCTGCAAGTGCTCAACTGATAAAACGTGGTTAGAAATTCACAACGAACGTGATACTTTAATGATTTGCGCAATACTGCGGTTGTGATTGCAACTCGAACAAGCCCATAATTGAGGATGAACCCTGTAGGGAAAACACGAACTAGTGAACAAGATTTCTAGTTCAGTCCTAGTTCATTTTTGCCAAAAACGAACCAGTTCGACAGTAACTAGTTCCGCACCAGTCGAAAAGCAGTGAAATGTGGTACTTTCACTAAACTATTTTATTTTAAATTTTAAAAGCAGGGAAGGTAATCATAATGAGTAAAATAATTTAAATCAGCATTTAATCATCTTTATGTTATGAATTATTATTGAGTTTTATTTTTTCGCTCAAACGGTAATAATTATTATTTGATTTTTATCGCTCGCTCGTTAGTTTGCTCTGAGCTTGCGCAACTCACGAGCAACAAGCGAGGCTATTTGCAAACGAGCACTCGTTAAGTACGAGCACACGCGCTGAGCAGCCAGCGAGCGAGTAAGCAAACGAGGGCAGCGCAAGAGTAGGGCGGCAAGCAAACGAGAGCCTCATTAGCTCTGCCCTCGCGAGGACGTCGTTGCGAGCGAGGCACTCATTTGCAGCAACAGACGAGCGAGGCGAGTAAACACATATGTGATTATTTAAGTTTTTTATTTATGTAAAGTCAAATTACTACTAGATCATACAAACAATGCATACAAAAGTAAAATAGTTTTAAGTGCATAATAAATCTAATACCTGTTTTGATAGTTCAGACTTTGATTTTCGCGGTAATTTTCGAAGGCTAGATATGTAAGGATCAGAATTAAGAAGTAATCTGTGCAAAAGGTCAGTATTGGTGTAAACACGAGAATTTTTTCTAGTGTTGAAACGTCGAAATTACCTCACTAGCTTATTGCATGATTCGGCAGCTTCTTCGGAGAGCTCACCAATTGGCAAGATTGCGAAATCAATCACCTCGGACCCATGGATTAAAACCTTATGAACAGATGGTGGTAAATTATACCACGGATATGCCCCAACTAGGTTTTTCACAACTTCAAATGCATAAATTTTAAAATTTTTAGTATCTATTTTATAACCCAACGCGAGGCACTGCAGGATGTGGTAACACTTGTCAATGAGAGCCTTATCTATTCTAGTAATTTCTGCTGAAATAGCAGAGTTTCGGAAAAATTTCGAGCGGTATTGCCGCCGTTAGATGTGCCGCTGCCACCGCTTCGGGGCTTGTTCACAACCAAACCTAAACGATTCCTAAACTGCTGCTGCATGTTTTTTTTTCTTTGGGCTACAAGAGCCTTATCTCATTTTTTTTAAATTAATTTTATAAGAAACGTGGATAAAATATTCAAAAAACCGAATCCACGAATGAAGTGGCGAAAAGCCAAACTTATATTTGGAGATGTCTGCTTGTTTGCTTACAACAGTAATAGCTGAATCTGACATGCTAGATTTATAAATTAATTTAAGGGGAACATAAGAAGCTGCTGTCCTCAATTTTTGAATCCGAAAACTTTTGTTTATATTCCATGTGCCCGGTACTGCCATCAAAACCCCACTTACCAATTAGAACAAAATCATTATTTGCATCAACAACACCATATTTCACGCTCTTTTGGGATTCAAAAATTCGAGAAGTAGTGTGGTCTAACAAAGACTGTAAATTAATTTCGGCAGAGCATTCTGTAACACATTCCTCTAATGGATAACATCGTTTCTTTGCTTGTAGCACTTTCAGATATGAGGGCAAAACATTTGTAAATTTAAAGTGTATTAACTCTTTTACAAGCAAGTACTGGTGTTTTGACAATTTAGCCTCCGTAACTAGTGATACCATTTCGTCAGCGCTGAATTGTACAGAAGAGATGCTGGATTGGGCGGAATCATTAATTATCGCAGTGACGGCAGAAGTGTCGACCTTTGATAGTTGAGCTAATCTGCGGCGCTTAGATCTCTTACTGCAGTCAGCAAATTGGTTTCTATGCAATTGCTTGCATGTAGAGGGCAAATCTTCATTACCAGTCATTGAAAATGTAAAAAGAGTGCAATTTTCT